CTTCAAAGCCGTCTTTCCTCAAAAATATTTGAACCAAAAATAAAAGCAAAGGGAGCCTCTGTTACCCAGTGACATATTTCTGCTATTCATTCACGATAGGGACAAAATATAATGATAGAAAAACAGCACAATATGGCCGAAGTATAATAATTACTGTTTATGTTACTACAGCACCTAGGAGGCCCTGTCATCAATCAGAAGTCACTAAGCAGTATACAAACACAGAAAAAAAACCCAAGATAGCTCCTGCCTCTGGAAACAAAAGTCATAAGAGATGCGTACAACATACCACCACAGAATCTCAGTCAGTCTTGGCAAGACATCAATATCACCGCTGCCAGATTTTCTGTTCCCATCAAGACAAAGGACACCAATGAAGAGTCAAAGGAAAATAGGAGGTAACTGGAGCAGGCGGTGTGGAATTATTTCAGTATAGGGCTTTCTACTTGCTACAGCTGAGTCTGCCAAGTGTACTGCTTGTGGCAGACATAAGCTGCCCACTGAAAGCTAATTTGCATGACACCACCTAAGGCAGGTTTTACAGAATGACACCTGTAATTTATTCCTACAGTGTCTAATAGTAATTTTCACTTAGCTTTTAACTTTCTTTTTGTCTTCAGCTCATTACTTCAGTACTTGTATGAATTCAGCAAGTCCATGAATTTTACTGGGAATTTCTAGTGTTCAGTGGCCATAGTCTCCTTCAGGAAACCACGTGTACAAATTCAGACCTTCCTGAAGGGTTCTTGAATGCCTGCTGCATGCAATTTTGGAATTCTATGCAGCAACTATAGCTTTTCCATACAGTATTGTTGTATGAAGCACCTAGAATCAACATTTAGCTAGGAGGGAACAGAAAAATAAGCAGAAAGAGGAATAATAAAATCTAATTTCTCTCCATGAAGAGTTTTGAGTCATATGTTGAATTTGTACTAACCATGTACCTGAATTTCATGTTCTCCAATAGCACTGAATGACAGAAACTGGAAAGTTTCTACTTATTTCTTTCACTGGCTTGAATTCAAATTCTTTACTTTGTAGAATTTATGCCAAATCTAAAGAAAAAAAAAATCCAAACAAATGTTGCAACACAGTTTCTAGGCTGAAACTCAAGAATTGCTTTTTAAAATTAGATCTCCATGTTACAGAACTACTGTAAAAATAGAAATCTTCTGTGCATGATGTTTGTTTTTTGTTTTCTCCCTCCTTCCTGGTATGGGAATGTGATCAATCTCATGTTTTGCACTCACAATACATTTGTTTAGTCTACCACTTTTTTGTCTTTCTCCCTAACTTCTATTCAGTGTTCACATCACACAGAGTCCAAATAAATTCTCACACAACACTTAAGCTTTTTTTGCTACTGAGTCACAAATACAAAATAGTTTCTCCACTAAACAGATAAATACCCTTCCTGTATCAGATCCAGATAATGTGTGTGATGTGAGAGATAAAGATTTTGTATGTGAAAAATATTTAGAATTATGTCCATTTATCTGCCCCCACCCTCCATAGAGAAACTTGAGGAGGCAGGAAAATTCTTTAGGGAGTCTATGGTAGTACATGGCGTTTGTTCATCTGACAAACTTTCAGGAGAAAGTATTTTGTGAATATGCAGAAGTCTTTGGTTGATAAGAAGCACACTGCTCTAGAAAGTCAGGAACTGTCTGCTTAGCACCTGTAAGAATGGTAATTGTACACCTGGTGTCCCCAAATGCCTTCTCAGCTGGTGAGAGGAACTTGGGAGAAACAGTGAGTCACACTACCAGCTTTTGATGTGAAAACCCTGCCAGCAAGCGCATGTTGAACATCATTGCTGTTCTCCCTCCACCTGGACTCCCTGAAGTCCTGTCACCACAGAGCATTTGGAGTTGGGGATATCACTGCTTCCAGCACTGCTTCCACTTTGGTGCACAGCACACCTCTGCTTGAAGTATCACTGTTCTTGAAGACCCTGCACATGCTGAGGCCAGTGAGAGCATCCCAATCGATTTTACAAAGCTAGAACAAACTCCAGTCTGCACTATTAACAAATCACACCAAAATAAAAATCTACAAAGATAGCAAGATGAAAAAGAAAACTTTATCATACTGAAATATAAAGAGCCAGAGGTTGCAATTTGTTCAGTAGTCAAGCAATGCTAAAGACCTCTAGCTTACCAACCAAAATCTACAAATCTAAAGTATACTCTTCAGTGCAAAAGTCTGTCCAATAGTTTAACCTAGGTAGCATCTAGTTTTCATGCATTCTCAGTGAGCTCCATTAAAACTACCAGATTGTAAACTGCTGCTTTTACCTTATTTTTTAAGTCACAGAAAGACACTTCTGTGTGAAGCTTAAGTATATTCACTAGTAATTCTTTAGTGTGGTTGTACTTTCTTTGCTGTTAATGTTTCCTTTTAAGTTTACATATCTTTCTTTTCTATTGCATCAGGATTTACCTACTGGCATATTTATAACAGCTCTATTTTTATATACTTATATGCTTTCTGTATTGCTTTGGCAATAGCTACAACTGTATTTTTGGGCATCTTAACTGTTTCCAAAAAAAGTTGACTACCACAGTTCTTATTATGAAATAAAAAGGTGCTGCTTTCTGTATTCAGGCCTCCTAGGTCCTAAGAATGCATACAGCAGGTTATTTATTTGCCATTTCAATAAAGGTAAGTTACACTACGTAATACTGGAAAGGAAGGAACCATAGCTTCTATAAAGCCATTAGCCAAATAGCAGTTAACTTTAAATTTTGGCATCCGTGATGCCTGACTTCCCTTTTTCAGTGTGCTTATGGTTGAGAGCGTCCCATGGTCACCTGGCAAATTCATGAATGAAAACCACTGAGCGTATGATCACATGAATGTAATTAGTTTTGGCAAAAGAAACTTTTAAGAGCAAAAAAAGCTTTATCAACAATGAAAACATTTAACTGACCATTACTACATCAGACTTTACACTTTTGAAATTACAAATCATCATAAAACAATTTTTTTTAAATCTGCATTTATAAAGTAGAAAGGCATGGATAGACTTGTCCTTCATAAAGGACGTATAAACATAATTTAATATGGACACAGCCTCAGTAGAACCTTAAAAGTTGAACAGGCAATACTACAATGCATCCTATAAACGACCCTCTAAAGCAACGATAGCTTATAATTAATACTTGAAACAGGGTAATGTACTTCAACAAAAGAAATTAAAAAAAAAAATCAGAAAAAAAGAACAGAAAAGCTCATGAGAGGTTTCTGATTCATCAGAAAGATCTCATTAGCTGTCACAAGGAAGTATTATTTAAGTTTGACTCCATTTAGCATAGAATAAAGGGAATCTATCCAGTGTAGATAGATATCTATACTCACCCACAGCTAAGACAAAACCAGCTATTACTGGATCTAAACTGATGAAAAATATTCTCTGTCAACAGTACCAGATGCCTGGGCAACAGATAAATGATGACCCCCAAAGTTGACTCTATCTAGGGAAATTAACGCAGAGTAACACTCCCAGTTCTCTCTAATAGCTTTACAACTTAAAAAGAAACAAACAAACCAAACAAAAACCACCCACCATCCAAAACCTCAACAATACTTTAAAAATTCATTATGAAAGCACTGCTTTTAAAAAAGTGTGTTATTCTTATGAGCATTATCACCACCTAGGGTCCCTTGCTTAAAGATCTATTTAGCTAGAAGTCTTGAATGAAATAGCTTTGTCATTCAGGACGAATGATGACAAAACGGATGACAAAAACCATCACCACCTCATACAGCAGCACAAAAATGGAGTAGCATTATACACCTAGTTGTCAAGGAATGGTTGGCAAAAGGAATGACAACGACCACAATAATGCAAAAGCTAACTCAAAGTACACGGTTTGATTTGATAACAAAGCATTTTCAAAACCCCAGCACTGATATAGAGGATACTCGTATTACTCATTCTCAACATCAAATTCCTCATATTCCATAGGCATATGTGTGTGTATTTTTATATATACATATGCATATATGTACATATATATACATGAATCCTTAACGATAAATGGAGAACATAAAAAATCACCAAAATTTAACAAACCATGACAAAATCAATAGCCATATATTGAAAAGAATCAGAGGACTAGAATGATAACCAAGTTTAGACCATTTTCTTACAGAATCTGCCCAAGCTGCACATGCCTGGCATATAACAATGTTTCAGTTCCGTTTCAGAAATAATAAATAGGTTTATAAACTTAAGGATCAAGCTGTTTGTTACGCATGTCATTTTTTTATCTGTCAATCCTGAAATTTTTACAAAGACCATTTACTTTAATCTTTTTAAATTCACCTGTGAGGATTTATTAATAAAGTATCTTTTGATCAGAAGATCACAGATAGTAAGTTACAGTTGAATTGGATCAGTTACAGTTCAGTCAGAATACAAAATTGACCTTGACTCAAGAGCCAGCACAACAGATGCTTTCAGCACTAAAGGACAGTTACTGCAAAATCAAAGACATAATTAGTAGGGGTCTTTCAATTTAACAGCAGGAGTTTAACACACAGAGACCAGACGTACTTTTTTTTCGGGACTTCAAAAACCCCCCATACTACAGTGTGCTAATAAATATACATTAAAAGATTCTAAAATTAATAAAAACTAAATGACAGCAATGAAACATGGGAGATGTTTACATTCCTAAACATTTCATTTATTGCTTTTAAAGAGCATTGCAGACTAAGTTAAAAAAAATGCAGCCTTTTTTGCTAGGTTTGCAGGTTATTCAAGTAACGTCTACTGAAAGGCACCTCCGAGAATTTCTGTTTCATCTAAAACTGAAGTCTTATCTGGAAAAGGATAATGGCAGCATAAACCCAAGTATTTAAATACAGTTACACAGTTTAAAATTCTTAGTGCATATCAAAACATAAGAGCTCTTTGTTCCACTCTCTTTTAAACTGGCATGTATAGCTTGCCGCGAGATGTACCTGATCTAGTCTGGAGACTGGTGAGCTACCTATGGTGGAAGTGTACTGTTGTGAAAAGAAACATTACTAGGGAAGCAGTAGAACATTTCTTTTCCATGGCTACATTCCTGGGGATGCAAGATAGTCAAAACAAACCCAACTGTCATCACTAGCACACCGACAGCAAGAATCAGGCAGGATATGAGGTTATCTGAATGGTTCCATCGCTCTTTGGACAGCCTTAGATAACACGCTGTTGGGATGATAAAAACAAGTGGGGTAGCACTCAGAACTCCCTGTGTGTGGGAAACAACAATAGAAAAAACCCTCATAAGCATGTATATTTAGATGTGAAGAACAAAACTCTAAATTTTTAAATGGTTGTGATTAGATTGATGTAACAGTAAAGCCAGAGAATAGAGACCTTTTCCAGTGTTGCTATATGAAAAACTCTTTTCAAAGTCACAAATAACTTGCAAAAAATCTGTAAAACTATTTGAAATAATTCATATTTATTTAAATGCTTTTGCTTTGCTGATACGGAATATTTTATATTGCAAGTACTATTAACTCTGATTACCAGAAGTTTCTCAGCTTGAGAAGTACAGTAAAGGTCCAAACATAATAGTTCTGCAAAACTGTAACTGACTTATAATATTTAAGATCATTTAATGTAAGAGTCTATATATAATACTGCCTTAAAAAAGCCAAGTGGAAACATCATGTAGTAGTTTAAAGAATTCTGATCAATTTCTACATTTACGACCTGATTTATGTTGACTTCCCTATGAAAGCAAAGCTCCCTTTAAGGGAGCAGATCCTCCCCTCTTATTAAAAATTCAGCTCTTCTTTAAATGCTGTCATAGATATGGACAGATAAAAAGCACCTGCTTAAATGCTTTGTACAGTAAAGCCACTGCAGATTAACAAATGACTTACATGTGAAAAGAGAGCATTTTTATGAATGTTTGTCACATACTTAACAAACATTATGTTTCAACTTAATTATCGTGAGGTAGTAATCCAGCCTACTGAATACCTCTGCATGATTGTTTGTACAAAATTTTGTATATTTTTACAGTAGAACCTGTTAACAGTCATCAGTAAAGGCATCAAACATAGGTACATGTACAAAGTATCTTCTTCATAAAACACAAGACTCTTAAGTTTGTGAAGCACACAAACCAGCATCCCAGTAAAAGAAGAGCACAGTAGAATCTGTGGACCCTTGACTCCTGTTTGACTGAACAGTTTCCTTGGGGAATTACCACAGGGCAAACACAATGGTTTGTGGTTTGTTTTAAAAACGGAAAGCGGAGAGAAAGTAAGCAGAATTAGAGAAACAACAGCAAACGCCACCTGTAGCAAAGAGCCAAAAGACAGTTCTGCTGGACAGAAAGCCTGCTGAGAAGACAGACCACCTCTCTTTCACATGTAAAGAATCTGCCTATTCATTTAATCTCTACTGGTGGATATCAAGACTGAACAATCTTTCTAAGTGCAATGATTACACCTAATACATATGTATAGCTGTATTGTAAAATTCTCTCTTAAAAAGGAAAAAAAAAACAACACAATGAGCTACCCACTCTAATGCCTGGCTATCAACTTCTATTTGTAACTGAATCAAGCTATCAGCTTGACTACTGAGTAATTGCTTAGGCCTCTCTGGATAAAAATATTGTATTGATGGAATGTTTGCTTTTGAGTAAGACAATTTAATTCCAAATAGGAATTGCACATACTTATTCATGCTAGAAAGACTCATTGGCAGTTCACTGATGTAAAATTATTTTTAATGTATTATACCATATAATAAATATAAACCACATACACATATATAGGCATATATGGGCACACATAGTTAATTATGTTCATTATACCAGTATTTGGATATTTGGCCAGAATAGGCATGTGCGCATGTATGTACACACTTAAATACTTTTTTGTTGGTGTGTATATATACACACAGGTGAATTTTCTGCACTTGTAAAAACAGAGCAGAAAAAAGATGGAAAATAAATTACCGACAGATGCCATGAATGAGAAATTTTTTATGGAAAGATGCATCTGACCAAACCAATAGCAATATTGTTTATTTTGAGCTAGTCATAATTTGGAAAGGATTATCTGAGAAGAAACTATGTAGGTAATTATTTTAAATAGAAGGTAATTGTATAGTTTGTATATTCAGACCTGTTTGGTAATAGTAGTGCAAGCATGACCTGCTAAATCACTGCTACAAAATCAATCATTATTGCTCAGTTGGCAGATAAACTGCAGTGTGGATCACAACAGTGTACACATTCATAATGTACATACAAACGTGTATTGTGTAGCATAAAGAACAAGTCCCTCCGTTTTGTTCCATCAGTAAGCATGCAATATATAGCTTGAAATTGTCAATGAAAGCATGCACAGGGACATAAGGAGGCAATTCTAAAATATTTCTATAAAGCAAAAGCTGCCCTTAAAAAATTTTCTCCACTTCCTAACTTTTATATCCTGAAGTATGATATTTCCATATCTTCTTTATTTATTAAAAGAAGCTGACCTGAAATTGAAGGTAAACTGTTAAAGACAAAATGTTTATCATAAATAAACATGGGCCTGTTTGAACCTCAAGAAGTTCAACAACACCAAGTGCAAGGTTCTGCATGTGGGTTGGGGCAATCCTAAGTGCAAATACAGGCTGGGGGAAGAATGGATTGAGAGCAGCCCTGCGAAAAAGCACTTGGGGGTGCTGGTTGACGAGAAGCTCAACACAACCTGGCAATGTGTTCTCGCAACACAGAAGGCCAACTGTATCCTCGGCTGCATCAAAAGCAGCACGGTAGAGGTGACTCTGGGGCCCCCAACATAAGAAAGACATGGATGTGTTGGAGTGGGTCGGGAGGAGGGCCACAAAGATGATCGGGGGCTGGAGCACCTCCCCTGTGAGGACAGGCTGAGGGAGTTGCGGTTGTTCAGCCTGCAGAAGAGAAGGCTTCGGGGAGACCTTCTAGCAGCCTTCCAGTACTTAAAGGGGGCCTACAGGAAAGATGGGGAGGGACCCTTAATCAGGGAGGGTAGTAATAGGACGAGGAGTAATGGTTTCAACCTGAAAAAGGGGAGATTTAGATTAGAGTTTAGGAAGAAATTCTTTCCTGGCTAGTGAGCCCCTGGCACAGGTTGCCCAGAGAAGCTGTGGCTGCCCCCTCCCTGGCAGTGTTCAAAGCCAGGCTGGATGGGGCTTTGAGCAACCTGGTGTAGTGGAAGGTGTCCCTGCCCAGGGCAGGGGGGTTGGCACTAGATAATTTTTAAGTCTGTTCCAACCCAATCCATTCTACGGTTCTAGGATAAATGTAGATTGAACTTTTTTTTTAACACTTCCTTTGATTAAATGTACATTCTGTGCCAAAATGGGCTGACTTCATCTGGCAAGTCTACTTTGCTAACTAGTAGTCTAGGACTCAAGTAGACTACATGGCAGTTGCAGCCAACCAAAAGTTACACAAATGTGCTAAAACTGCTTCAAGACAGTAAGTGCCTCGTGTGGCCTGCCTGGTAACCTCTATCTCTGCTATGAGGTGATACCAAACACAGGAATGTTTACAGGCAAATAAAGCAGTTTCCTCCTAAAAATAATACACTCAAGTTATGAAATGACTCAGTCTTGCTCCCTGTTAAGTCCAAAGCAGGGAAAAATTCCAGTCACAATCTCTGTGGTCTCACTACTACTGGTTCTTTCTTTTTCCGCCCGCCCTCTCTGTTTCTTGCCCCTTTGGCCCAGTGTTTAGTAATTTGCCAGGGATTAGAGAAAGACATGCTAGATTCAGTCCTGCAATACAGTTAGGATGACTATTTCAATGATTTCCACTGCAGTTTAAATACATTTGGTAAGTCATAGCCACTTGCCATATCACCAGAACTGTTCTAAAAGCCCTCCCCAACCATAAGAACTTTACTTCCTGAACTTCCTTTCTCCTTTAATTATCCAATTTTGAAGCAGGGAATAATTCTTTTTTTTTTCCTACTAACATCTCTAGTGACTACTATGTAGAATTACATAAGATTTTCAGTAAAGCTGTGGATTTTTCAGAGTTCTGTTTTATAAAAAAGTGATTTATTAAATAAAAGAGTATACAGGTTCACTTACATTCAGCTCTAAAACTATTCCAAGGCAATCATACACTAACGATACACCAGTCGCCACAGCAATGATAAGTAATGTCACAACAATATGGAAAACTGTTGAGAGGTTCCCATGGAAAAACACATTGGCAATCACCTGAAACAGAACCACAATTTTAAACCTTGATTTTGCTCTTTATGTTAACAAACAGCTTATTCCAAATCTGCTAACCTTCAGAAACCAGTGAGAATATATGGACTGAATGTTACCTATCTTGCTTCAAGAAAACACCTTCATCCACTTCCAAAAATAACTCATAGCAAGCATTACTAAAATTGCAGAACACTGGCAAGACTGACTCAGTTATATGCAGGATTTAGGGCATACTTACTTTCTTGCCTACTACAGAATAAAAACCCCTTGCAATTATTTATTGAACAGATAGATTTCCTAGATGGAGATACTTTCACACAGCAAAACTAGTGAGCATGATAAATATGCTATTTTGGGCTATTCTCAGCATAATAGCAACAGTGGCATTTATACCAAACTTGAAATTTTAAGCAGTCCAGATATTATAAAGTAATTATTAATATAATATTGGATAATATTATAATAAATGTAATACAACATTATACTTTCAGACTGTAAACAGGACAACTAGTAGCAGGATAGGATATGATTGACTTCAGCTACAATATGTATTAATAATATGAGAATATTATTAATATGTATCAATATTGTTAAAGGGAGAATAACAAATTCTTACCTCTCTAGTCACAAAACATTCAAGGGGGAAGGTCAGAATTACAGTAACTCCATAACAAAACCTTCCAAATGTAGCAAGGTTGTCATCTCTACAGTAGTTTTCAAATATATCTCCTGAGGCACAGCAAAACATCAATTAGTTTGAGCTTCATGTCATTTGCCTATTTGCAAACTGAAGTGTAAGTTGCTGGAGTTATGGGAGTAATTGAGACTTTCTGATCCCCTCTCATGACACACACCAAAAAACTGTATTACAGTCACTAATTACATCCAGGAGGAACTTAAAGGTGAATCACCTTATCATGCTAATAGCAGTGGTTTTATTTCAAATAGCATTTATCTTTCAAAAATATTTTAACATATACACGTTAAAGTTTGTCATCTGTTACCTCCCCATTAGCACAGATTTTGTTAGAGAAGCTGCTGTTTGTTTAAATAAATACGTGACAGATTCAGAAAGAAAGACTGTAGAAGATACATTTCCTTTACAAATGTAATTCCTAGAACAACAATTATACGAGGAAGACCAGGGAGTTACCTCTGGGGAACTGCATTTCCCTGATTGTATCTAATCATAGCTGGTAGCCTGCAGTGAAGAATTTCAAATATTCTGGCCCTGAAACCCCATTATAGACAATGGATTACTATCTAGCAAATCTTCTTAAGTCTAACAACAAAAGCATTACTAGAGAATTCAAATCATCATCTTGCTTAGCATGTACCACAAAGAATCAGGAATAATGATCTCCAAGGCACAAGAGACACTGCAAGACAGTGATCAGATGATCTATCATGTTTTTTTCTATTCTATTACTATACCATCTTAAGATTTACTACTTTTAGGATCACAATGACAATGAAGAAGCAACAAGGTGTACTTCAGAGAAAATAACCAAGAGATTTTGGCAGGGGAGACAGAAGGTAAGATGGAACCTGCTTACAGTAGAATCATATGCTGAGAGATAGCTGCAGTTGGAGCTTTCTATACTTAAAACATGTCAGCCAATGTGCACTTAGTCTAGCTACAGTTGCATCTAGAACAGTAAGTTATTCTGCATAAACAGCACTGGAGGCAGGAAAAAAGGACAGATCAACCAGTAACCTCCATCCTACAATTCCTCTGTTCTCAATTACATGCTGCTGCTCATCAGGAAAGGAAAAAGCTCGGAAGCCTTCTCCTACAATTTGGAACAGCACTATTAAATAACAGAAAATCTGCTTGCTTATGAAATGTGTATTTTTTCTGAAGAAGCTAATGCACTGAACAAATTCATGACTTGCTCTTCTAAAAGCACCTTTTCCACTTCAACAAAATGGTGTTAAATAGTATGATATAACATTGATTATATATATTTATCCATATATGTATATTCATATACACACAAATGTGATGATAGGATTAGTCACAACAGAACAGCTGTTGTAAAGATAGGAAATATCTCTAAGTCAGAGCTAGGATGCTACATTAGCACAGACCAAAAAAGATACAGGAGAATGTGCAGAAATATATACCAGGCACCTTGTAGAAAAATGAAGGCAATTTTTGTTCTTATTGCTCTCTGCTAGTGAACCATGTGGCTAAATTATAGCTGTTTAGTCCTGAGAAGTATTTTGATTATGAAAGTATTCAAAAGGGACTTTCAACAGTGAGGCTTACACTTGGGAATCTGACATCTATTACCATGTAGCTGACATCTTTGTATCCTTTTTTGGTTGTTGGGTAACTACAAAGAATATCCTAACTATTTCTGTCCAAACATAGTATGATTTTGGCGTTTTTACAATCACTAAAATATTAACAGCGAAAGTCAGACAGAAAGGTGGAAATGGAAGGATTCCACCAAGCACCAAAACTGAGGGATTGAGTAGTTTACCTTCTGTGTATCCTGTAAAAGTTACATATCCACACGCAGCAAACACTACACTGATAACAACAGCGAGTGAGACAGACACATGTGTGACTCGAGACCAGTTCTTTAATGTGGGTTCTTCCAGAGACCCATATATTAAAAAGCTGTTGTGGTTGCAGATGAATGCTGAAACACATGACAGTTAAAGCAAATGTATGAATTCATGCATTTATGCATATAAAACAAACTTAGAGAGTGCATATTCCAAGGTAGGAGAGACACAGCACAGTCTGAATCTACTCATTATTAAATACAAATATTAATCCTGCAATGAGTGGCAAAGATAAATGCTTTTATTTGAAGAAGGTTTATATTCATCGTGAGATGATTCTGATTACATTACCCTAAAATGCCACGCCGTTTCCCACCCTCCACACCTCCATTCCACCTCTATTTCCTCTTCCTGCTCTTCTTTTGTTTAAGAATCCAAGAGCAGCTTTGAAATTTATTTTTTTTAAACCACAGAGCCATTTGCTACTTTCAGACTTTCTATGACACGTATTTTAGGCAGCAGTGAGCATTGGGAGGCCTGAGATTATCACAGTGTTAACAAGAAGTAACATACCAGATCCTGCAGGAAGGAACAGATTTTAGAATGAAGATAATGGAGGTGAGTTGAGACTCACCCGAATGGTTCATTGTGAGAAACGGGAAACAACAGCCACTCTCTAGTGAAGGTATGCATTGCAGTCTTAAGATTTTTCTGTTAAAGGTTATCCAAGAGAACGCAGTACCATCACAACCTCCACAGTTTATTACTCAGATTAACCCTATTGGTGCAGGTGTTTTAAGATAATCTGGACAGTCAAGCTCGATTGATGTGCCACACCGCTCTCTCTGCTACAATGGCAACAGCTTTTAGGGCCGGATGGGCAATGGATGGTGATAATGTCTTAAACCATAACAATTAAATTCATATGGATGATTCAAAATCAATATTGTTTTTTTTCTAAACCAGCTTAACATTAATATAAAAAAAATTACCATGAAAAAATGCAATTTCTAGGTCCAAAATATTAAATAATGTAATATCTTACAGTTGATCTGAATATTGAAAACAAAAAAAAATTACTTACCAAATGACATCACCCCAACGGCTTGTACTGCATTTGATTTTGCAAATATCCATGCATTTTCTGATTTGGGTCTAAAACAGACATTTGTTTTAATAGATTATCCTCTTTTCAACTATCAGTCAGTTATTAAAATTAACTTAAAATACTATGCTGTAATACAGAACTGCCAGTCAGATCTCCAGAACTCTCTGAAGCAGGCCGCACCATTCATCAACAGTAAGTTGAAACCAGGGCAACACCCTTCTCACCTCCCTGTTTTGATTAAAGTATTTCTGTAACCAGTTTTTACAGCCAAAAATGTCAGCCTGTTTCAGTGACCAGTTTTATAAATAAACTCTTCAAGTCATCATATACCAAGAAACAGCAACAGGGAAGGGAAAAGCTGTGACGGCTTCTGACTAAGGTTATCTCAACCCAAAATCTCTTCTGACTATTTAGAGGCAATTCCTTCCTTTGAATTTACACATGTAATCCATGCAGTCTAGAGGTTTTTTTTTTTTTCTAGGCTACAAATCAAGTGAGGCAGTTTGCCTTTCTTTATACCTGTTCCAACTGTTCGTCACAGCAAAGGGATCCTGCCAATTCCCAAAGGAGAGAAAAAACAAATACGGAGACTTTTACAAGCAGGCAAGAATGTAACATTCCCCACATCTGCTCCTCTAACATACGCCCACAATTTTGGGCCTGTGGTAACTGTAATTCTTAGAGGAGGACCACAGAAAACCATCAGCAAATTTTGTTAAAATCCATCTGACGCATGAACTTCCTCTCTGAATAAAGAGACAAAATGAAGGAAAGGGGAAGGTCACAATAAATCCTTTTCCAGAACTACACTTTTCTAAAAATATCAAATGAAATTCACAAGCTGGTTGAACATTATATTTGTAACATTAAAGCACAAAGGAACAGTATAGAGAAGCTTGCTCTTAAAAAGTTGGCTGCTGCTAACTTTGAGTGCTGTGGTTTTATTTAGAGGGAAATCTGTCGCCACCTGAGGCCTTAGCTGCTATTTTCCTACTGCCCTAGAAACAGTATGGCACTCACACCAGTTCTGTGAAGGTAACAATGGCAGCTTTGTCTCTCCCTCCATCTGGTGATAACTACCTGGTTTTGACAGCCATAGTGGCATAAGCTATGCTACGTTTCATTACTTTTGAATGTTTAAACTCCACCCCCACTCCCTAAAAAGAAAAAAGACAAAAAAGATGTCGCTCTTCCCCCTTTCAGAACTCATATCATACTATTTCTTGAGAGCTCATATAGTCAATCTTTCATTTTCCATATTAAAAAACCAGACTTACAGTATCTAATGCACATCCAGATCAGACTTAGAGCACCTTTTTGGCTCTTAAGCTGTGGTTGCTATGTTTAACTTTACAGTAAACAGACTAAGCATCAAAATTAAGTTCATTTTTTTTCCTCAGATGCAGTATATTGTCTTGACTACCGCCACATATTGCTTTTAGTCTTAAGCAGCTGAACATGGCTCTCCTAAACATTCTCAGATTCAGCATGCAGATGTAACAAATACTGTGGATGAAATAGAGATATCTAGCATTTCTCTTGTGAAATAGGAGTTCTGACCCACTATAGCTGTTATAGTTCCTTATATAGAGTAGCCCCCCTTAACTTGATGCCGCTGATTTCAGGTCACTAGAGATGTCTGTGGACAATTCATATACATAATTTTGAATGTATTATTTTTCAGGAAAACATTCACATTTGATTGGGAAAAAAAAATCAATAATATGTCAAAATAAAACTAGACTATAGAAAGCTAACATTACAACTCTTCCATTCTGTAACCACTAGAGGTCAGCTTTGATATCAAACATACAGAATGAAAATTTGTTCTATATTATCCTTTGATAACAGAATTTGTGAAAGTCTCCTTGCCCCTTTTCTACTAATAATTAACACTTAGATTATGTAATACCCTATAAACCAAAGTATTTTTAAAGTGCACAGAAATAAAGAATGCTTTTGTCTGAAACACATTGAATTTTTGTGAAAATGGCACATCCTGTGCAACAGTACAGCTATATGAAAAGCTCCTACAAATAGGGATTTAAAAAATGGAATGTAGAAAGCATGTGAATTTCAGTTGAAACATTTTGAATAAAGCAGCCAAATAATCAATTAAAATAAAAATCACAGGAGCTAGTTTTCCCCCTACACAGTATTAGCTTATGCACTAGCAATATGCAACAGACCAAAATATAGCTTTGTTTTATGGATGAATGACAAATCAGATTAGGAGTATTATTTGGAGGAAAAAAATCCAAAAGAACAAAATCCTGCTGATTTGGCAGCCTAAGAAGATAAATTCCTTCCATTTGAGTTGTGGAATTGAGGAAGAATTTCAGATCCATGATTTGAACAAGACCAGCAGATTGCAATGTCATACAGTGCTTGTTGGTACAGACGACATATGCAACAGTATATGACTTTATGACAGTAAGTCATATACTGCTGTATGGGTTTTGAAGACCATTTGGGAACAGAGAGATCTTGCACAGATGTGATATGTAAACTAAGTGAAAGCAACACAGTAAGAAATTAGTGAGTGTTTAGAACTAAGAGTCAACAGCTCTAGAGTTCTGACCATATCAACAAGAAATCGTCCTCAAGTCATCTGCAGGACATAGAGACTCATGCAAAGCTCCTGGAAAAGCGTGCGGGTGGCATGGAAGTGTCTATATAAAACAAGGCTTCAGACTGGGAAAGAGAAAATTGTGTCAGGAAACAGTAGCTGTTAGTTATGGAAGAGGGATACAGTGAATAATCACTTACAATAACTCACAAGTCAAAGGGCACTGAATGGAAATATCAAGTGTCAAGGTAAACATACACACATTCATATATAAATATATGTGTCTGTGTAGGCAGATGCACACACAGGCTGAAAGAGTCTATCACAAGACTACCAGGTTACACTATATCTGTTCTGCTTTTTCAATCGTGCTGTTATTGTTCAAGGTAGTTTTTTTTTTTTTTTTTTTTTTTGAGAAGGACCTTTGTTCTGAACAGTTTGACCTAGATTCTTTTTAGGAATTGTTAGGGGAAGATTTTAACTGCTGCTCATATAAGATTAGCAGTAGCTGCGAATGCCCATGAATGACAAAAAAAGCTAGCTTACTGCTCCTCACTCAATGTATAAAAACACAGGGCACACCTGCATGAGCACAAAGCTTTTTCCACGCTGGAGAAGAAGTAGTTAAAGGAACACAATGAACGTTAACAGAAGAAATACATTTGTAATACTAAATGCACTTGTTGACAGCTGTACTGTCTATCATGTATAGCAGAAGTTGCAAAACAAAGTAAAAGCTGAGAGGTAATAACTGTGATTCTTGGAACAAACATAATAAAAGATTGAACAAAAAGATGTTCCAAGGGAGATCCCAGACAGGAAAAAGTCTCAGCTGAAAGTAAGACAGACTGACAATAAGAACTGTCTGTGGGAAGGTGGTGAAGCCTAGTGATGAAGAAAGCCTAAGACTCTATTCTGTCTTCAGTATACTTAAGTATCGCATAATAAACGTGCTAGTGAATTAAAAAAGGTTTTGAAAATATTCATGTTTATCTACATAAGAACACACACAAATGAAAAGAACAAATGAACCAGGCAAAGGTTGAGATCTCCTAACAGGGTAAAAGGCATTTCATATCCAGATCATGAGTAAGAGTTGGGCAAACTTGTTCGGCAGTCTAAAACAGCATGTCTTCTACTTCCTGTAAAACATTTACAAGTAAAATATTCCCCATCTTAAGATCCATGCTATGCAAAAATCTTTTCTGACCTTTATGTAGAAATGCTGCCAAATACAATAACAGCAGCAGAGTGCATCAGAAGCAAAATACCTTTAAAAAGGGCAAGAGAAACATATCCCAACCCAGCTTGCAGGTATGAAACACTGAAAAAAAAAAAAAAAGCATTGCTTTGGATTTAAGTTCAGTGACAAACAGCCAGTTAGGTGCAAACCAGCAGTTATCAAAATAATCCATGAACACATGGCAGATTAATTCAGGTTTAATTCAATGATTCAGGCTTTTAGGAAATCAATTGTAAAATTTCAATTCAATTCTGTTCTAAGGTAAAACATACCTTTTTAGTTTTTGTTTAAACTTTAAAAGTTTAAAGATACTGAAAAAGTTTATAGGTGCTGAGTGTAACTTCAGTTCATATAATGGAAGGAAAACGAGTAATGCTCACCATCACCCTTGAACTTTATATTAATCAAAGTCATGTTGGTTGTTAAGACAGATGAGGCAAAGCTGTATGTCAGCCCCGCTTAGTTACAGCTGCTTTAACTCATCTTTCTTCCTTAATGAAGTACTTAGCAGTTCTGTAAATATCTGGTAGCTTAGTGTTATTTTTTAATTTCATCACCCATTAAAGTTTATCTTTGCTTACTATTGGATTATTTATACGAAGGAAAGAATCAACTTTCAAGTTATTTTCCTGAACACTTGGTGTTTCATCCCTGTGATCAGCTGCCAGTTGAGTAATTCTCACATCCTATTTATGTGTAGCAGATGCTCTTGAAGTTTTCCTAGAGATTTATGTATTATGCAGAACTGACATCACGACATTCTTTTCAAAAGAACTCCAAATTAAAATTATCCATCTTTATAAGCTACATAAAATATTGCTTTTTACAGCAATGAATGTTAGTTTCAGCTTTGAAGCATGAAGTTATTTTATGCAGTATTAACATACTGCACATTTACAGTTTGAGATAATTCTAAAACATTGGTTTTGCTCATCATAGAAAAATATCCAGCTATAAGCAGGTGGAAATAAAGAATGGATCATCAAAATGTATTTTTATCCAACATCTTAAACTATTGACAGTAAAGTCTCAGTTCAGAACACTGGATTTTATCTGCAGGTTCATTATGTCCTTCAGGCAACAATAATCATCTGGATGGTATTAATCAAAAGCAAAACTGCGGGGAGGGGGGCGAGGAAAGTACCTCAGTTTCATATTTGTCATAAGAGGAAATAAATTAAACCAAGTAATCACGCATCATAAAAACATTTTTTTTTTTTTTCCTGAGAACTAACAAGAAAATAACATTCCTATTCCTGTAACGTCCCTGGAAAACCCGCTCCACTCCCAAAGCAACATAAAAAAACCCCAAAATAAAATTCAATAATCCAAAGACTTATAATTGCTGTTTTTCATTCTACAGTTTCAAGCACATCAGATCATTAAAAACAGTAATAAAATGTTGTTTCGCTGATGGGCTAACACATTGCAGAAAGTTTCTAGGAAAGACAATATTCTCTGTTGTCCAAATAATAGATATAATTTTCAACTAAAACATGGATTGCATTTAAGCAAAAAGACAGTTTTATCATCCCCCGATAATCTTGTTGTACCTCTCAAAGGGAAGAAATCTTCACTCTTAAAAGTCTAAAGGTAAGTGAAAACTGATTGTTACTCAGAGAGTAATTACTAAAGTGGAAAGATATCCAAATGGTATTCCAGTGGAACCTGACCTCAGTCCAGCACTTTTGAATGTATTCAGCAGTAACTTGAATGACGGGACAAAAAGTAAGAAGCCTTCTTAAGAGAAAGCATGAAATGTGCAGTTAACACAAGCATGCTAGAGAATAGGGTGAAAAAAGAAAAATCATAAATATGTTGGTAAATGCAGAAATCGTCTGACAAAGCAATATTCAATTCTGTAACCACAAAATCTAGTTATTCAGGGGAAAAAAACCTTCATCAGAACAGGGCAGGGGGGAACCAGGGAAAAAAAAAACCCAAACACCATAAGAACAGAGTAAAAGAAAGGAAAAATTGCCAGCTCATGGTTCTGCAGAGAAGGTCTTGGTGCTTCTCTTAGACTGTATACCCAAGGCATGTCCACAACATCATGCTACTTTCCAAAGAGGCAAACATCAAACTAGGTTACATAAACAGGAGTGTGGCCATCCCCAAGGGATACAGTTGAAAGGCACCTCAAGACACTTTGCATGCAAGATACATCAGTCTTTCCTCTGGGAATACCACAGGCAGTTGGAGCATCACAGTCTCACTTTAATTTGCACAGAACTTAAGGCAGCCATTGAGAACGATTAGTAGCCCAGGAAATGACGGAAACACTAAAGGAACTGTGTTTGTTTAGTCTATAGAAAGGCTTACCCAAGGGGGACATGTTACAGCTCTTCACAGGTGTTTTTTAAGCATTTGAAAAAGAATAAACAGTTTGCTGTCCACATCCACTGTGGTTAGGCCAAGAACCAACAAACACGAAATGAAGTAAAAGAGACATACAATACAAATTTAGGAAGAATTCATAAGAAGAGGCTAGTTAAGAACTGGACTGGGAAATGATGTAATTGCTAAGAACAAACTAGACAATCACCTGTCATCAATGACAGGCATACAATCAGTTCTGCCACGAAACAATGGAAGGGATTAAATATTTTTTCTTGGCCCCACAAGGCCTTTATCTAGGATTGTACAATTCTTTTCCTACATGACAGATCTGAGAACTGTGTTTCAAATCAGGGTTTTTTTTTTAAATCTCTTTGAAAACTCCAACTTGTATTGTATTTTAGAAGGGATTCACAGTGAATTCATTATTTACTTTTTTCACTTGTTACAACAGTATGATGGGACCCATATTAAAATATATATCAGTGTTCTTTCTTCTCATTGCAAAAAGAGAGATGGCATACCATTATACAATTAACAAAATATTAGAATAGGGTTTTAATAATTAAAGTATGTCTAACTGTAAAATATAAACAGTAAAAATAGACTTTAATAGAAAGTGAGGCAAAAAATTCTGATTAACAGTTATTCAACTTGCTAGACGCATTTTTGAAAAGTGGAAGTGTAAAGGCAAAAATGGAAGTCTCAATTAAAAAGTAAAACTTCAAGAATCACTCAAAATCCAACCTTACTTATTGTGAGAAAAAATAGAACCATGCATTCCATATTTTTCAGTGCATCACAACTGCTGAGAAGAAATGTTACCATAGTAACAAGGTCATCAGTAACCATTATATACAGCTTCTTCCCTTTTTGACAGGGGATTTTCAGATTACCCTTTCATATACACCTTTAACATGCAGTATGAAAAACATGCCGCTTCAGAAGCAGGGCAGGGCAGGAGGTCCCACACTGTTCTGAGTGCATCATTTTATGGATGATAGACAACACCGTCTGCTACAACTTTAGAAACTGCTATTCTAGCCATCTTCCTAGCACTAAACACGAATGCCCTGCAATTAACCCACACATCACAGCAGGAAGACAAATAAACAATTATGCATAACACAGCTGAAACAATCCTAATAGAAGAATCCACTTCTTACAGAAACATTAGAAATACTATTTAAAACTATTCCAATAAATAAAAAAACCACATTCAGAAGTAGTTTGTAGTCTTTATTGAGGTATCTTCACATTTAAAGGATAAGGAAAAAGGCAGACCTTCTAGGCCATAAAAGAAAGATAATAGGTTCGTAACACTTCCTTGCAATATAATGACAAAAATATTGCCATAACACACACTCACGTTTACTAAATTGTCTAGAACACTCTGTCGTCCAATGTTAAATATTACTTTCAGAGTATGAGTGCTGGAAAAGCTTTGCATGCTTATATTGCTTTTTTCTGAAATAACAGAATAAAGTTTTTATCAGTGTGTTCTCTCTTTTCATTATTTGTATTCAGTTTTTATTATGAAAACACTATATTAACAGAAAAATAAATATTCCTAAGATGCTATCTATTTTAAGATTGTAAATATAGACCACCTGACAATAACAGACAAAATTAAAGATTTCTCAAATGACAGACAACCTCACATGCCCATTCAGGAGCCATCTGCCATACCACCTGCAATTTCCAATTAATTTGCAGGGTTTTTGAAACTTTTTCTAAATATGCTTATGTGCAATAGAAGAAAAAAAAGATAAAATTATGTTTTAGCAGTTCATTTTGTATTACTGTTAATACAGATTTTTCAGTTATCTCTCTCCCCCAAAAGAGCCATGTTCCAAAAATATGCAGATATACGTAATAGTGAAATAATAGATTAAATCTAATCAAAAATTCATTCTGTGGCAAGTGTAAGAATACTTACACTTGTGGACTGAATGTTACTGTTCTCACCATCACAATAATCAGGATGACAATGGTTAAAATCAGAGAAATAAGAGATACCTGTAAAGGTAAAACATGAGCTCAGTCAGTTAGCTGCTGAAAGGTCGTCCTCTTGGCAGAATCACAGAACGGCAGGGGTTGGAAGGGACCTCTGGAGATCATCCGGTCCAACCCCCTGCTAAAGCAGGTTCACCTACGGTAGGTCACACAGGATCACGTCCAGGCGGGTTTTGAGTATCTCCAGGGAAGGAGACTCCACAACTCTTAGCACCATAATGTTTTGGGGTTTTTTTAAAGAATAATTAACCACCAAGTAATGTTCTAAATATCACATGCCAACTATTTATAATTATAAAGCTTGTCCTATATATACTTTTAATTAATTATTCTTTTTAAGTAACTTGTGGATTGCAATGATTTGCCTAATTTTAAGCGATAATCCCATTTAAACATTTCTAATCAAAGGTGCTCAGCATTTCAAGATCAGGCCTATATCACCCAGTGCTTTAAAAGATTTCAGTTCTACTAGCAGTAGATGGAAAAATTCCAACGATTCATATGGAGACCAAAGTTTTGCTTAAACCATTCCAAGTTTTCCAATATTTCTTGGGATAGAAGACAGTCTGAACTTCTAAAATATTTAACATGCTCTAGCCAGATGTAATTGAGTTCAAATGCAACATACGTTGTCAGTGGTACTTAGTTTTTAACAGTATACAGAAAAGTAAACCAAAAATCAGTTGCTGTTATGATTTACCTTTCCCAGTTTTGCTATGTCTCGATATAAAGATATAGGCAAGGTAAAGATGATGGTTGTAAGAAGAATTATGAAGTGACGGTCAGTAAGCACGTTATCTGGTCCAACTAAAGCAAAAAAGAAAATAATTTATTTCTCTAAAAGATTGACATGAGGAACAGATTAGTTATATTTGAAAGGCTAGAAGTAACAAACTCTGATGTTGGCCAGGCTTTTATCCCCTTTATTCAAGCTAAAGACTAGGCATTCACTAACTTTGAGGAAGCCATATACAGCATGTGCACAATCATAAGGATTCCGCAAATTCAAACCAAATGCATGACATATTGGATGTATGATACCAAACTTTGGAAGTCTGGCATTTCTACATATAGATTAGTATTAATTTCTTTTATCATGCCTGGGTCAACATTGGCAGACTGCCAGTAAAACATTCTACTACTTCTTTCTGCCGTTACTCTTCAGGATTTTTTGACACTATGTTGACATCAATTACTGTGCTGTCGAAGATAAGCAAATTCTTAAAGAATGATCCTAAAATAAGTTAATTTTGAGGTTTCTTTTCAATACCTCCTTTCTTGCTGTCAGCTGGCTTCCACTTGCAAAATACAGATTACCATGGGAAGGCAAGAATAATGTTATAATATTCCCTGCAATCAGTGGGATTTATTTCTGGAACTGCTGTTTTTTTCAAGCCAACTGCAACTTGAAATAAAACATATCTCAGTTTCACTCAGGCTACCATGAATCATGGGCTTGAATGAAAGCTTGCTGAATAATTACAGCTGGAAAGTCACTGGCAATTGACATGGAAAGTCTGTGTTCAGTTCCCTCCACTCTTTGGGACATTATAATGCTTTCCCACCTCTTTCCAAACAGACATTCTACCAGCCAGGTGACAAGATGTGCCATGCTGGGGGTTCTTCGTATGACAAAAGTCGTATTGTATTTATATTATTAGATATTCACTGTCACTATCAACCTGATCAGGTATTCACAGAACAACAGAGCGTGACAGTTAAAACTGCATCCACACCTTGCAGGCTTCACCTGCTAAAAACTATAGTCCTCCTGCAGAAATCAAACAGTTCATACAAATACTAACATCAACTTCATTGCAGACATGTTCCTTTTAGTTTAATTTGCCAGTGAAGAATGTTTTAACTTAGCTGGCTTTGTGCTAAAGTAGATGGCAAACATCCACACAAATTGCTCCACTGATTCTGCTGTGAAAACTTACAGCAGACGAAAAGCAACAAGTGCATGCATTAAAAAGCTCAAAATGCCACATCTGGTTTTGCAGCGAATACCTAAGAGAACTGAAAGTTACATATGCAGTTCATGACCAACTATTACAGATATGCTTAAGTAAGCACTAAATCCATCATATCATTTGCAAGTCACCCAGAATTATAGATAACTGCACTACATAAAGTGCAGTTTCAGTATTCAAATGGTTATTACAGAAAATATCAAAAAAAGATGACAAAATACAATGACCTTGTAAATATACCCCAGTGGAAGACTCCTTCTATTTGCGTAGCATTTCACTGAAGCATGTGGTCTCTTCACTGACACTGAGTCCAACGATAACCAAGGACTAGGATTCATAGTTTTTATTTGAGAAACACTTACTAAAAAAAAACCACCACAAAAAAGCACTCATACAAATATGCTTCAAGTTCTTAATTTGAACTATATTTAGGAGTAATTTAGAAGCAAATAAGAGGTAGGACTTCAGACTGGTACAGGGTGCTAATCCCTAAATACTTATGCTATATTCCTGTCCAATACATTTCCCCCATTCTGAATTTTTTAAATGCATCTTACCTCCAGGAATTCTCTGAAAAACTTTAGTTAAAGTGTCTCCTGTTATTATGTTGTAACTGATCATAGCTTAAAGAAAATAAATTTTTTGTTACTCAAACATGAAATACTTGATAAACATTTAATACACATATTTTGTAGAATTCAGGATTATATGTCACTGTCTCTCTTGTGTGAATTCTGGCTAGCATCAACAAATTCTAAGTTTCAGGTTTAAAACTAAATTTTAAAATATCCTTTAACGTTCCCCATTATTATATATTTTTTTTAAACAGGCTCAACCTAAGCAAGAATACAGCCTATAAGCAAGGCCGTTGTGCTGGCTTGTCATGTAAATTTACTTCAGAAGAGGAAAAAAAGGCTTTTAAAAATTGTTTGTTTCTAACAGTAATTCTTTGACAGTTTATTTTCAAATTCTTGTTTCTATTTAGTAAATTTCCTGATTTTCTAAATAGAAATAATCATCAGTCCCGCAATCAAATGCACAGACTTCCTATCTCATGTAAAAACTTAGCAAAACATTTAAACCAGAAGAAAGGAGGGGAAAATAGATGAAGACATCAGATACAGACTTCCATTCCTTCCTCTCATTAACGAGAACTGTGGCCTTAACATTCACGTTTCATTCTTATCTTATTCTACACTAGAAGTCCGTGTATGTGTGTGTGTGTGTGCATGTATACATACACACAGAATATATTTATATACTCACGTGGTCTTCACCATTTAGACAGCACACACATAGGTACTGACTTTAATTAATGCATAAATATTCACTGTTTTGAAACTGTAGGTCATTAACACTACTTATAGAAATAAATCCAAGCACATACATGTGGTAAGGACTGAGATCTTTACAATTCTTTTCCATATTCTCTATTAAGTGGTAATTATATTCTGTTTAAGTCAACTTGTGTAACATTGTTGCCTTCAGTAACAGTAACTTGACTCCCTTAAAAATCTCAACTACCTATAATAAATTCAGACTGAATCTTCCCAAAGTAGGAATTTTGATCTGGGACTCTGTGGGCACTGAGTCCAGATTGGCATCTCAAGTCATCACCTTTTGCAGCCCCATATGTGAAAAAATCAAGCTTATTTAAGATTTGATTTAATTATGTTACTACTGCAGGGGACAGATTCAGAACATCATTGTATTTTAAACTTCCAGTCCAATTAATTCCTGCCCAGATCATTCCGATTTGTTCTTTTACTATTTCTTCTTCAAAGCGGTCTAGACTGCCTGATTTCCTAGTAGCTCACTGGCTATGAGGCCAAATTAACACTTTTGAAGAGCAATGACAGACAATATTCAAGCAAGATCTGATCAGTGGCTTCTCCAATGACAGTAATACTACACATGAGGAGTATATTGAATTAGGATTTTTCTGAAAGTTTCAGGCACATCAAATCTGTGCTCTATTATTCATTCTAAAACAGAATCTCTTCTTTGCTATTTCTCGTAGCTACTTTTGTCAATTATTAATTAATTAATAATTGTGTGTGATCATGAATTTCTCTGCTGTTACATTTCGGTTAATTTCTATTATTCTGGTCCTCCAACTGATTGAATCCTTTCTAAGTCATTCTTCAGAATACACCAAGCAATTTTTAATATTTTTTTTAATAGGAAAGAGGCATATACAGTATATTCTTAACAGAGTTCTTAATAATTAACCACTGAAAAAATGAGGTGATGTGAAAAAGCTTGTAATTTATAAAACTTAAACTTTATTTACGTGATCTTACCAATAAACGGGTATAAAAATTGAAGAGTTGAAAGAATTATATAACCTACAACACCGTATGTTTTTCTGACCAGCTCTTGATAGGTGTTGGTACTGGAGAGGTTTCCTCCTTTGATCAGTAATATAATGGAATAATCTGTTAAAATAGAAAATTACTGTTAAAGACAGTATGAACCAACTTGTGGTGGTTACTGCTTACCTTTTTCACTCCTTAAAAAAAAAAGTCTGTACAAAGTGGCACTGGCAAGACCAGGGTTAAGAAAACTCACAAAGGATCTCAAACCACTAAACCTAGGAGTTATAGGCTCATAGTGGAAGGAAATTCGAACTTTCCCAATTAGGTACAGCAGAAATGGACTAATTTTCACTGGTTTCCAGCATGGTCAAAGGGAACGAGAACTGCCACAAGCACCAAAAAAAGGAAAAATCAATTAATAATGCAGAGGGCTGCTGAATGGATAGAACATTTGACTACATCCTGAAAGGAGGTAAAATGCAAGGACTGCCTGTGTCATGGTGCTAGAACTCTCAATCACTACTCAGCCATTCATCTAAGTTTGTGAAAGATAAAGCCTACTTAGTATTTTGTTAGTCTTCTCCATTGTTTGTGATAAATATATTATGAACATTTTTATTGCATACTTTTAAAATAAAACATGTGCAAAGTAATTTATCTGGAAAACCATGAAGCAATGTGCCTTGAGACAGAGCTGATGTCACAGGCAGAATTACTCCCAGATGAACCTCAACTTTTTATGGAGAACAGTTCGAAATATTGCTGCTGTGTCAAGCTATTTTTCAGTATTCATTTGAGCACCATGGGGTTTTCCAGTCCAAATTAGTTACAGCACAGAATTTATTACCTTAGTGCTGATGTCTTTACAGATAGTAGCTAGACCTTGTCTATTCTTCATCTGGATTTCACTCAGCTTGTAATCTAAGCTGCGATAGGAACAGTTCCTTTCTGTGAACAGTATCAGTGTTTGTTGTCTTCTGGGAATGACTAAAATTACAAAACTTTACAAAGTGGATTTCTACCACTTGTTATTGTGAAAGTCAATTCAGAGATTTCCATGAACATGTGCAAGTCTTACACAACATATACTCACTTACACTATAATTTGGAGCAGACAAAAGCAGAGATACAGAAGCATTCATTATCAATGATGTTGCACACTGAGCTGATCTTGTACAAGAAATATTAAATCTTTGAGGCAAGGGATATTGGACCGACAAAACTTGAAAAGGACTTCTTGTTCAATGAACTAAAATTGTATCTGCCTGGCAATTTAGGACTACACCCTGTGTAATTCAAAAACATCCCCCAAAATGAAATACAGTGAGAATTGCTAAATATCAGCTATTCACCAATTATTCAGTAAAAACTATGGAAAATAAATGCTAATGTAACATACTTAGCCTCTACTTTAAATGCTACAAGTCAAAAAGTTGTAACTAAAGTTATAATTTATTGTGCAAGATATATTGAGCCGTATCTTTAACATAATAAAATGCTCAGTTTAATTCACAGGTTCTGAGCCTATGGCTATAAAGTCTTCAAAATACTTAGAAATGCAAAAGGCAAATCAGATTTCCTACAGAAAAGTAACTGAAATTTCTGGGCTATGTTTAGGATATTACCTCATTAATGTATTTTGCCATCAGCCATAGCGAAAATTTTCCATTCATAAGGAACATCCTCCTTATGCTATGTTGCTCTCCAGTCAAACCTTGATCATTTATGCAGACCCTTATATGATATTCTAAGCAATGAAAAGCATCAACTGCTGCTCAGCATAGGGATAACAGAACTCGTGCCATTCATGTTGACTTTGTTTGTCTTTTTAAGACTTGAATCCACAGTCTTTACAAAAATTTTCCTTCAATGTCAATGGATTTACTTATGTTTATTTACCATGTGTTTTCAACACTTCTCCCTTTTTGAAGGTAAGTCCATTATTTTTTTGATGAATGATAATTAAATATTTGATATCATAGCACAACCAAAGGTTTTCATTATGTGGTATATTTTAAAAAAGTGATATACAACCCACTCAAGAATCAGTCTCTTAATTAGAGTAAAAACAGTGGACTAAAGCAGGTGATTATGAGGCACAAATAAGAGCTATTCTTCCAAATGTCACCTTGACCTAGTCTAAGAAACTAGGCTTTATGAAAATAAAATGCACACAAAAAGCAGCTTTGTATGTTGTACAGCATAATTCTCTACTTTTACTAATCTGCTCAAGGGATTAATGAGGTAAGGAAAAAATTTGTCATTTTTACTGTCATAGATATACTCAAGGTATCATTAATCTCAAGATCAGCTAAACATTGCAAGACTAATTTTCACTTTACAAGAGAAACTGCTTTTAGAGTACCTGTGATATAGGCAACCCCAAATAAAAGCAGTACTCCTAGTGGAAAACCAGCTTCCTTCATCGAATATGGCAACCCTATAAATAAGAAAAGGAGAAATTATAGAAGAACCTTTCCAAATACTTATTTGTGATGACAAAAATAAATAAATATTCAGATTTCAAGAAGCTATCGACCTCCCAAATTGGACCAGCATGCTTAATAACCTTAGAAAGATCATTTTTAGTGGACAAAGTGTTGTCTAGGTGTGAAGTTCGGTCAGCACCTGTCCAACCAGTTCTCTCTGATCATTATACCAAAGAGGCTGTAGGGTGTTCATCACTGTGAAACATGATCTTAGCCAACATCTCTGCATTTTTGCATAGTAAGCAAATAAACCCAGAGAAAAATCTTTAGGAACAGCAGCAGAAAGCAAGATGACAGTGTTATTCTCCAAACTGGATAGTCATGCATGTATAAACAACGCTGAACACAGAAGAGTGAAGAAAAGTATACTTACCTATAATGCCTGACCCTATGATAGAGTTGATAATGTTAAATCCAGCTGATGCCAGATCACTGTTTCCTCCTTTATTCCTGGGCTTGCTAACAAGGGCTGTTTGGTCATCTGTTTCTACCTATTTCAGGAAGACAACAATAGCATTACACATGAGGAAAATAGGTGAGAACAAGGATTTTACACATAGTCTATTCAAGATCAAAAAAAAGCCATAGACTTAGATTTGTAGAGGTATTTTGATAACTAAATCCCATTTTTTTCAGTGAGAAATCAAAGAGGTATTAGGCACCTAATTCCTATATAATTCTGACTCATAATCTCTGTAATTAATTCTTCTCTGAAAAAAAATAAGCAGAAGGACAGAAATGTAAATCAAGTCTTCTTGAAAATACTTTGGCTAATATGACCGGTCAGTAAAAACAGGCCCCTGAGTCCGGGGAATGAAATAAATTTCAAGAGTTACTGGTAAAGTATGCCAACATCTGAAGATGCTCTAATTCAAGGTTTTATCCAGCATTTTAAATATTTCTGTGTCATCTAATAGTTTAGTTCATTATGAATAGTTAACGACACTATAAAATTGGCTAGTCCCAGAAATTTTCTGTGGGAAGGTCTGGTACAAACTGAAGTTCAAAGCACAATCTGTAGCCAATAGCTTCAAAAATTAAAAGTTCTTATCCTCAAAAAGCATTTCTTCATAAGCATGCAGCGGTCCTCTCTTCAGATCACCACTCTGCTGTCACAGAACATTTTAGAATGATTTATTAGAAGGCCAGTATTTTAAATCAAGCTGTGTAATTTGGAAGAGGAACATGCATTTAATGAAGAAAATGCTTGCCTGTTTTCTATAGAACAAAACTTGTGTACTTACCATGAAGATAAAACAACTATTTCAGGGATGTAGGAGCCTATTTAACACATATATAGCAGGTAGTGCAAACTCAGATGCTTGTCACTAATACTCCTGGAAAAAAAATTAAATGACTGATAAATCTAAGTCATATATAGATAGTGGCATAAGCTGACAAGCATAAGAGTGCCTCAAGGAGGGCTATATATTTAAGTGGAATCTTTAATCCTTAAGCATTACTAAGATAAGAAGAGTAATACTGGCTCAGATCAAAGGCCAGTATAGCTATCCCATTTCTGAGACTGGCGATGGAAGGCACTTAGGGAAGAGTATAAGAACATGAAAAATAGTTAGCAAATAACTTTCCTGTCCCAGCTTTTGTCAGTTTGCGTATCCCAGACTTCCTGAAGGAGGTATGTTCTTGGTACATCACATTCCTCAATGGATTGCTCCTTGAATTTCCCTTTTTTGAAGCCATATATATTTTTTAGCATCTGCAATGTCATGTGGCAATGAATGCTACATCTTAATTATGCATCATATGAAGAGACAGGTTCTGAATCGACCATTAAATATTTCCACAAAAATTCTTGTATCGTCACAGACAAACCAACCACTATTTCCTGCTTATCTTCTCCATATCACACACAGTTTTATAGATAACATTCTCCCTCAGCTGTTTCGCATCTAGACTTACAGGTTCTATATTTTATTTCACCAGTGACCTGAGCAGCAGAAGCATCACTGTCATTCTCTCCTAAAATTTTAATACTTTCTGCTACTTTCAGCACAGTAGACATGAAATTGCACTAAACTAGAACAGTCCAGTTCTTTCTTTTCAGTTGTTGAAAGAAAATGAACACAATGTGCACTGTACAGCTCAAAGACTCCATCATGAAATCTGGTCCCTTTCCCATTTGAAGGAGACACATTTGAATTGGCAAAAAGGGCCATAAAGGGCAACAGAAATTGTGACACAGATGAAATGGCTCCTGTGTGAAGACTAGTGCTCTTGGAAGGTGCACTTGGACTGCAGACGGGGAGGGAATGCCTGTTTGGGAGGCATGCTAGCGAGCTGTAACGCGGAAGGCTACAGAAGAGATGAACGGCATGTGTTTGCCTCTCGCAGCGTCCTCTCCCAGGGACCAGCTGCAGGCTGTGAGACAGCCAGGGCCACCCATACCACACTGATAGCGCTGGGCCCACCGGGAGACTGGGTGCTCAAGTTCTGGTCCTCAACCAAGACTGAATTTTGGCTGTGCCAAGCAACCACATTTCCCTTACCTCACAAGAATAAGCCCCCCTCAGGTTGCATATTTTTCCCCGCGTGGTACCTACAAGTCTTTCTTCCTCATACGAGCCAGGGGAAACTGAACAGAGGTGCAGAAGGCATAGCTGCTGTCAGCGCAGCTGGGGAGCCGGGCTG